AAGAAATACAGGATGCATAGCTTATATACATACATATATGGCAAACATTTCATATTTGTTTATGGCAATGTGACATACATATACATAGATAATCTAGCAGCATCATGCAGTTCACATTTCCCCTTCCTGGCTGTCATGTGGGGCTGCACCATGTCGTCTCTCCCAGGGACCGTGAGGTCAATGCAACGCACCAAATTATCTATGGTTCCGAATGTCCAATAATGAATGTTTTGCAAAGCTGTCAGCATAAAACGTTCAGACACAGAGCTACATCTCTGAGATTATGCTTTTTTTTTTAAATTATCCAGTTAGTAGGCAGGTATAACATAAAAACTGCAAAGCTGCAATTGTTAATAGTGGTGTCACCATTAGGGAGCAGTAAACTGATCCCCAAGAATAGATACCATTTAGATCAAGCAGATTTTGAGAAAGTTAAAAATGCCTGATCTTTGAAAAAAAAAGTCAGCACTCTATTTTCCCCAAAAGGGTTATTATTGCAGTTATGTCATGTACTGTTCCACTGTCATACATACAGTACATATAGGACCCACAGCAGTCTGACTGAAAAACAAGTCAGAGTATGAGAAGGTGGTTAGTCCAGTGTGTGATGATTTTAGAGCATTTAATTAAGCTTGTACTGCTTAATGAGACTACAGGTGCCAATACACCTTACAATGGCCCAGGTGGAGATTACTCCATCCACACAGTTAGGTGTAGATTGAGGAATCTGTTGAACCTTTTACATCTAACCACAGAAAATCTGCAGATGATTGTAAGGTGTATGGCCAGTTTACCTCAGTAGCTAATATAGGTAATCTTACTGGACAAGGAAAGGCAAATGGCAGGGCTTAGCCATTCAAGCTGGCCATTGTTCATGATTACTAATTCAGCCCCATGGGCTAAACAAGAAAAAATGCTGGATTCCCCCATTCGTGTTAAACAGTGCGGATGCTGGCTATTAGAATACCTGAGCAGTGACTTCAGCTGATTGGCTGAGAATTTTTGGATGGCGAATTGTTGAATGGAGGGGTGCCGACGGGGCTACAAACTATTTGAATCTCAGCTGAGTCAACAGGACTTGCCCAAAATTCTAAAAAGTCTATGACCAGCCTAAATCAGGTGAAGTCGTACCGCAGTAAAGTGAAACCAAAATCAGAAAAGGGCACACAAAAAAAGACTTTTCTGACTAATAAAAGGTAACAGCATGCATCTCTTGTGGTGTCTACTCACTTTGGATCTCATAGCTTTTCTTCAGGGTTTAGAGTCTGAATTGACTGCTCTGTTTTGCTTTCAACCTAGCCAAAGCTGATATTTTTTTTTTAGTTAGATAATGCTTACTATTGGTTCCATATTATATACGCACGCACGCACACACACACAAATATAAAATAAAAGTGGTAAAAATATTTTTTTAAAATTTTTTGTAAACAGTTACTTTTTTTTTTTATAGTTAAAATCTTTTTTTTTTTT